GAGAGAGAGAGAGAGAGAGAGAGAGAGAGAGAGAGAGAGAGAGAGAGAGAGAGGCGCATCGCTCTCCGCGCTCGTCGAGTCGAAGAAGCTAATCCAGCTGCTCCCGGAAGACGCTGAGGATATCAGAGAAGGCGACGATCCCCACAAGGAAGTAGTCGTCGTTGACGACCCACACGTAGCTCACCCGGTGCGTCAACGCCTGTATCATCACCGCCACCAGCGAGCTCTCCGGATGGCACACGATTGCTTCCTCTGACCGTCTCCCCATCCTCGCCGAGTAGCTCCCTGACCTCCCCGCCGACCTCAGCCGCCTCGGCCTCTGCAATGCCGCTGCTGGCGAGGACTCCTCGTCGGACGAGGACGAGGACGAGGACGAGGATGCCGAGGACAAGAACGGCGGGGAGAAGTCGGCCTCCAGGAGCTCCAGCATGCTCAACAGCCCCTTCTCCTGCAACCTGGCCTTGATGGCGCCTATAGCGGACTCGGGCGGAGCACCGAAGCAGTCGACGTAGGCCATGAGGTCGCCGGCGGATAGCGCGGCGAGGGCGGCGGCGACGCGCTGGTCGCAGTGGACGAGGGTGGAGGGGGAGATCTCCCCGAGGAGGCGGCCGTCGTCGGAGACGACAGCGACGGAGGTCTGGTCGACGAGGGCGGCGCGGATGAGCGGGAGCGCGGAGAGCGCGGGGTCCTGGGGGCGGACGGCCAGTGGGGCAGGGTGGACGAGGCCGAGGTCGGTGACGGAGAGCGCGGGGGCTGGGGAGAAAAGGGCGATGGAGTTGAGGAAGAAGCGGACGAGGTCCTCCTGCGTCAGCCAGCAGAACTCGAGGGCGGCGCCGCCTCCGCCCGCGGGCTTCCTCCGCGACGCGGCGGGACGGAGGGGCACCACCAGGCTCTGCGCCCCCTCCAGAATCGCGTCGAGGGCTTCCAAGATGCTGCAATTGCCATCAAGAAGCGTCAAATTAGCAACGCTGTTCATCAAATCCACGAATTTAAAGCAGAAAGGTCTAAAAAATTCTACTAGAAGAGTATGTATCGTAACAGAGAACCAAATAAGACCACTCTTTGTCTTCTATTTCCCCTTCCGTAGATCCAGAGAACAACATAAGATACTGCATCACCGAAAAAAGATCATCTTTTTTTAGGAAAAGGATGGCGGATGCACCTGGAGCTGGGCTCGACGCGGCGGACGAGGGGGGCGGCGGCCTTGGGCGGGAGGATCACGGAGACGGGTGCCGCGAGGGCGGCACCGGGCGCCGCGATATTCTCCTTGGAGCAGAGGTAACAGACGATGTCGACCATGCACACCGTGCCGACGCAAGCCTTCCTATCGGGCCGATTCCGGTCAGCGGCCCAGACGGCGAGGCGATCCTCTCCGCTGCTCCGGAGGGCGATAAGGGCGTCGCCGATGGTGGCAGAGAGCGGCAGCGACCTCACTGCCGGCTTCCCGATGCAGAGGTCGGACACCTCACGGGCCAGGGAGCTCACTGCCATGCAACGCTGGCGTTTCCCGAAGAAGAGAAACAAAAAGCGTCGTCCAAAGGCCAGATGGAGTCACGGGCGAGGGAAGCGGGGTGATGCGCGGGGCACTACTTATAGGCGCGGTGACCGGGAGCAGCCGGTGGAAGCAGGTCAGCCCGATGAGATGGCGACGTGGTAGGGGGCTGCAGGCGGTAGTAACTTGGCCGGCGGGGATTCGCGACGGAAGCGGTAACTTCGTTCGTGAAATACAACGCGTTGCCAAAAAGTTGCTTCCGGAGCAATCCGCGTCACGATACGGATTCCCTTCCCTTCCATCGCAGCCGTCTTGCCTCGTGATGCACGTCACATCTTGATAAGAAGCCTGATCTCGATAGAGACCTCATCTTCATAATAACTATTTAGTTATCTCACCAACATATATATATATATATATATATATATATATATATTGCAAGTGGCTTGGAAATAACATTTTTGGCTGTAGGTGAGGTGACACAAGTTTGACTTAGTAGGCTTAGTACAATCAGGAGTTCCATAACTAAATGATATTTTACAGACAAAGGCATGAAATTGGTCCTCATAAAAGAATCAACAATAAAATATTCTATATGATGTCAAAATCATGTGATGAGTAAAATATTTTAAGTAATAATTGGGAAAATAAATCATAAAATGACGCAGATGAGTGAACCATTCTACAATGCAAAATAGTGAAACAAAAAATAATCCTCATAAATCAGAATCTGGCCTAACTACATATTGAGGAACAAATTGAAAAATATTCATGTATAAAATACAGAAGAAAAAAAATACTGAATTGGACTCTAATTCAAGAAAATCCAACATAATGAAAAGGTCACATTGTGGCTTCATTTAGATGCAGCATGAAACAAACATGAGTGGGTGTAAGGGAAATTTCTTATATTTCTCCACCTAATATTTGGGATGTCATGCTTTCCAATCCCTTCAACTGATTCAATCACCATCGAGAAAGAGAAAGAAAAAGAAAATGAAAATGAAAGAAAACAACATTGGTTAAGGACACAAGTCTTAATTTTAGGACTCAGTCCAATCCCTAGGAATTTGGCTGATGCAAATAATAATAATAATGTTTGCTACATAATACAGCATGAGAACTCCCCAAAAGTTCACTCCCAAACACTTTCTTTCGTGTGTGAAATGTTATTCTAATAATAAATAATCATAGATCTTATCAACGTAGGCCGGATGAAAAGAATAGTAGATAAAAATAATTATTGAAAAAGCTTTATTGAAGAAGTTTTAGCTTGAATACATTAATATGTTCCTCTTCTATTTATAGATTTTTCTCAACAGAATAGATGATTTCCCTCAATAGAATAGAGATAAGATGATGCTCTTGTCAAGGATACCAATTTTGGATTGATGCAAAGAATGATTTACGAGTAAGAGGCTTCGTGAGTAGAGCAAGAGCATATCGCTGCTGCTGTTGCGATTGCTATTACTGTGATGGCACATGCGTTCCCTTCGTTCTTCTTAAGTCCGTCCTTCGTTCTCCTTAAGTCTGTCGACTGTTGGCAAAACAGCGAAGACTACCGCGGTGAGGAAGATGAGGATTGGCCGTGGAGCCTCTTAGGAATGTGGCTGCAGCAATGTTGGTCGTTGGCTAAAAGCAAGGGTGAAGCTTCACTTTTCTCAGCGACATTGATCGCTGGTCGAAGGAAGCTTCGCTTTTTTCACTGATATCACGATGAAAAGAATAGAAGATAAGAACAATTATTGAAGAAGTTTTAGCTTGAATACATTAATATGTCTCTCTCTTATTTATATAGGAGGGAGGATAATATTATTGTATTCCTCTTCTCGGAAGCATGCTGGATGATGAACTCCGGCATTGGGACTTCTTCTTTCACGGAGGACTTTGAGGTGGCTGGATCAACATGAAGGAGATAGTGGAATCCAAGTTGTCCTCCATCTAAATTCTACTCCATGAGAACGATGAGCAAAGGATTTGATGGCAAAATTAGATTAATATAAATGAAAACAACATTTCATGATTTCTCAAAATTAGATCAATCCAAAAGCAATGAAAACAGATCGAATGGAGGACAAAGTCTAGGAAGTTTTTGCTTGAAGATGGAAATTAGTCTCTGTATCTCAAAGTTTTGGTATATGAATATAAAAGAAAAATATTTTGAAGTGCTTATATGAATTTTCTTTAATAGATCATAGGAGATCAAGAGAAATTAGTCTCTGAATCACAAGATTTTCGGGTTGATATTTAAATTTATTTTCTAATTTATATGTAATTTTATTAATATTCTGAATTATTCTTTTGTTACTTGTAGTTTTTTTGTTTTTTTTGGGTCTCTTATGATTTGTTTGAGAGTAAAATGTTTTATCTGTTCCATTTAGGTTTCTTCCGAGACATGAAGAACACATGAAATATATCAAAAAGCTTACTTATATTTCTCAGGTTCTGAGAAAACAATTTACAAGATTTTATTTATCCAATATTAGTTCCTAAACTTTGGATTCATTGGGGAAATGGTCATCCGGATTCCAAACTTGCACCTTCAGTCAAATTACTGTGGGACAGTTGATCGGGCACCGAATGCTTCACTTGTTCATCATACTTGACTTGTCTCGGTCAGCAATGGACGGAAAGCAGCCGCCTTCCTTTAACACCTCCGGCCGCCCATGCGCACCGAGACTTCCATTACAATCACGTCACGTATATATATATATATATATATATATATATATATA